TGTCGTTAGGTGCATAAACAAGTCCAACCATATTCAGTTAGAGCATTAATTAATTAAATTTGAGATTAATTGTATAAGAGTTTAAGCTGACTTGTTTATTATAAAATAAAATAAAAAATACTAATTCAATCTAGCGTTATAATAAAATGACAAATAGAGTGAACATTTAATATGAGATAAATAATAAGAAATCATGTGATATAAAATTTAAAATATCTTTTTTTTTAATATTTAAATAATTTAAAGATAAAGCCGTAAATTTTAATATATTCGAAATACAATTTACATTAAGCATCCAGCTCATGAGTCAATTAGTCGAGACAGAGCTAAGAGCTTGGCCTATTAATTCATCGTGCTAAACTCACGAGCCACTTGTTGGGCATGAGCTTGAGTTGACTCACGAGTCGACTCAGCTAAGTTACACCCCTAAATGCATGCATGCATTCGCTCGAACCGGATGGAATACACAACGAGTATATACCAGCACATAACCATGCACTCCAATCAAATGAAGTGCACTATAAATAGGTAGTTATGTACCTTATAGCAGCCAGGAACTAGATCTTGTAAGCATCTCATCTTCTCATTTATTCTCTCTCTTCTCACCTGAGTTTGACCAAATATCAAAGTTACAATCAGCCCCATGCTTTCCCCAATTATATAAAAGTGAAAATGTCAGATACATTGCATGAATATCAAGTAGAATCAGCAGCAGCAAAGTAGGCTCCACCCACCACAACTATGGGTGTGTGCTCACATATGTTGGTGGGGTCAAAGTATGTCAATTACTGAAATTATAAGGTTTATTTGAATTAATTTTTTTATTTCATAGAAAAAATAGACTATACATATATATATTTAAAATAAAAAAAATAAAAATAAAAATGATTATAAACAAGCACTAAACTTACCCTTTCAGCTAAGCTATGGCTGTCAGTAGCTTGGCCTCTTCTGGCCCTCACATGAACCACCTCCTTCTGTTTCTCTCCTCCATCTGAATTCCTACTCCTTGCACTCTCTTTCAAACCCTTTAAAACCAAAAAAAAAAGAAAATGGAAATTGATGCAAATCTTATAATATCATGTAAGTATTTACTTGCAATTTTACTAAATAATATAATTCTTAAGTATAATGATTTAGATATGAAGAGCAGTTATGATGCCTACTTCCTTCCTTCTTTTAGAGTTCTCTTCTTCTTCCAAATGGTTTGCAGTTGATTGCTTCCTCTTGTTATCGGTTGCAGGTTCTGAGACAGGTTTGTGATGATCATGTGGTAAAAAGTTTGGAAGATTATGGACTAAAGGAAAGCTGAAGGCTTCTGGTGTGAAGTGTGGGCTTGGATTTTCCATGGCATTCTCACCGAGCTCTGCAAAATGGGCAATTTCTGTGAAGGAGAAGGGAGAAGGAAGCTTGAGATTGTTTGTGTAGTCAGACATGGCTGAGGAGGGAGGAAAGGGTTGGGAGGATGTGGAGAGAGTGTAGAAGGGGGAGAGGGAGGGAGATTTGGAAGGCTTGTTGATGAGCTGTGCACAATTCTATTTGGTATAATGGGAGGATGGGCATGTATCAATTATGTGGATGGGTTCATATGTGGTGGGTCCTTGTTTAAATATATGCCCATTGGTGTGTTTTTTTTAATTAATTATTGTTATCATTATTATTTTTTATTGACTTTGGTGTTGGATTTGTATGTTTTCAAATGTTTTTTTTATTTTTTTGTAATTTGGTAAGATTAGATTAGAGTCAAATAGTAAAAGGAGGGGCATATTACATGGTGGGCTGTGTTATGGGAGGAAACATTAGGTGCACATTCGCTCAACCAATAGAAGGAGAGAGAGGGGAGATAGAGCCCTCCCCTTTCTCTTCTTCTATTGGTTGGGCACGGGTGTGTTCCACGCACCTAATATTTCCTCAGATTATGTTGGAGGGATGGATTAATTATGTTGAATATGGAGCCTTGAAAGGAGAGAAGGAAGGGTGTCCATAAGTTTCATTTGGTAACATGTGTGAAACGCCTCGAACAAACCTCCATTATCCGATACAAATCTCGAGATAATTTTTTGAGCAAGAAACATTCAAACTTCAATTATAAGTCATCAAGAACTCTGATTTCAACAAAGTTAAACTGACCGGCTCGATGAGACGAACCTAATAATATAAAAACTAATCAAATCAAGTTATTAAATCATTATAATGATATAAAAATAGTCAAATCAAGTCATTAAACCACTTTTGAAAGATTCCCGAAAAAAATTGGAATGTCAAACAGATGTCAAATATGACGAGTTTATAGTCAAATCGAGCATCTTAACAAGACGAATCCAACGAGCCCATGATTGCTCAATTCTGACATCGTTAAAGCACTTAAATGTCCATCAAATGCCATCTGATTGAAGAAAGCTCTCTGGTCCGTCTAATCAAAACGATTTATAATTCTGCTTTAATTGCACTCAGAACACTATAAATAGAGCCCCACCCCTCATATGAGAGAAGCTTGAGCCTTGAGAGAGAACTTGAGACTTATAGAAGGAGCTGAAGTCAAACACCATCGTCAACCGTTGTTGACCACCGCCGATCACCGTCGAACACCGCCGACCGTTGTTGACCATCCCCTATCATCGTCGACCACTAGTGATCGTCGTTGGTCGCCGCTGACTGCTGTAGACACCCGCTGATTACCGTTGATCACTATCGACCACCATTGACAACCACCGATCGTAGTCAAACACTACAAATCAAACATTGTTAGTCTATATTATAATTTGAAAAATCTAGTAACTTTTTCCCGTCTGTGGTGCAAGGAATTTCTGTACTCATCAATCAATTCTGGATTTTTACAAATTAGCCAGACCCCGTGGTTTTTTCCCTTAACGAGTTTTCCACGTAAGAACTTCTAGTGTCATTACTAATTGTTTTTCTTTCATCTGAGCGTGTGTTGAATTCTCGTGCAACACTAAGACCATAATCCATTACTCCACCGCCGTGAATTTTCTAGCATGCATCAACGTGTATCTCGGCTTACTACTTTATTTAGTTAGCCTTGACATGGACATGTTTTAAGGCCTTGTGGATTAAGGCCTTGTGGTCCTATGTCCATAAATGTTTGAATTTTGTCACGCTATTCAATTGTGGGGACATCAAGAACTTCCATTTGATCAAACATGAGTGTTTTTTGCGCAATGAATGTTTCATGATTCAATAGTCAGGACATCTTAATGCATAAATTATAGGTTTAAAGATTGAAGTTTGAAGTTTGGAGCCAATTCATTGAACTGTGGAGGCTTTCAATGCTGTCCTTCAAAATTCTTCAGCTCACGTGAGATATATAAATTTGATTTTAATTTAAACCGAACTTTGACATATAGTTGATTCATGACTATCCAACTTACCACAAAAGTATGAGTTTGGTGAGATGAAGAAACTTTGTCATCTTTGTTCAGATGCAAGAAATGGATGAGTTTCTTCCTCCTAAATTTTAGGAAAAATTACATTGTACCACTCAATTCTCATGTATTTACATGTCTGATGACTACAAATTTTAATTTTTACATATATGCCGCTTTAACTATGCATGAAAAAACTATATTTCACTTTTTTACAAGTTAAAATTGCGGCCTTTTTGATGTGATATGAAATATTTGATCGGTATATATATATACATATATAAGTAAAAAAGCAAGGTTTATGTGCTAGATATATGAATAGATTGAATTTGGGTGGTATTTTTGTAAATGCCCCTAGATTTTATGAAGCTTTGGGCATGGACATCAACTGGGCAAACTGAATATTAAGTATTAGTCCCACATTATTTTAATATAATTATAATTATATTTTCATTACAATTTTTATTATCATATTATTTAAATTAAAATTATCGCTGAATATCTGACTAAAGAAAAATACTAATAAAAAAAGTAAATACATGGCAATTGTAAGGTGTTGTATGCATGTAAATCCCCTTAAATTTTATGTAAATATTTGTTTAATACCCCTAAAGTTTATGACATGAAAATGTTTTTTGCAACAAGCAACGACTATTGCATAACAGTTTGGGAAACACTTTATACTGTGAACACCTCAAGTCTGTTCAGTTGACGTACATTTTATCGAGTCAAATTAAGTGAACCAAAATCCCCTAAATCACCTAGAGAAATTTGAAAGAACATGGTGAGGTATATTAACTTAAAATTATTCGTGTAAAGAGCATCCACCTGCCGCCTGCCGCCACTATCGCCAGTTGCCTCCCCGTCATGGTCACATATGCCACCACCGCCAGTCATCACGTCGAACTGTGTGCTAGCCCGACATTAATGGGTTTATTTTACATTGAATTCATTTTTCTTCAAATCAAAGAAATGAAACATAAAATCCAACATTTATTTTACGCTAAATCAAACTCCTCTAAATTATTTCAAATACAATATATTATTTCAACGCTGCATTACTTTTTCGCAAAACCAAACATGCTCTTTAGAATGTTATAGAGTTGTTTGATTTGCTATAAATTAAATACAATAGATTATATTTTTATATTTAGTTTGAAGAAAAATGAAATCAAGAAAAAAATGGAGGGGGGAAGCGATTACTAGAGACGGGAAGGAGAGGCGGACGACGGATGATGATGATGGGCGACAAGCAGCAGTGGCGGTCGATGGCGATGCAGATAGGAGGGGACCGTGGCGATAGGTGGTTGGCGGTGGTGACCAACGATGTCGACTGGCTGTTGTCGATCATGACAAGGACAAGCAGCAGCACTGTTTGGCGATGGCCAACATTGGCCAATTAATGACAGGAACAGGAGATCTGAAAATCACCTAAATCTGACGAATTAAGAATATATACTGAAAATGAACTTAAAAAATGCAATATAATTGAGACCAACTGCAACAGTGATGCTCTGAACTTTGAATAACTGCTCATTCAATATAATAATTTGCAAGGCATAGTATAAATGACGTTTGCTCATGTATGAACTCGCCTCTCTCATTCATTTTGTATTTTTCTTATAGCTAAAATAATATCAGACTTTACCAATTCAACAGAGAGCAATTGCATTGATTAACACTTGCAAACTTCACTATTTACAAAACATTACAATTGACAGAACTTTACAATGCACAAAATGGCAACTAAAGTGACATTTTAAGGTGACATTGCGCTTAACACTTGTTGCTGCAGTTTTTATATGTATAAAAGAGTAAAGGGGCATTTCATACAAACCACATAATTCTTATGTATTTACATATTTAACACCTAAATTTTCATATTTACATGCATAACAAGCTCAAATGTTCAATATAACATCAAAAATATTACTATTACTCAACTTTTTAATGATGAAATATATATTTTCATGCATATGTTTATAACACTACTGTTATCAATCTAGATATGAAAGTTGAGGCGTTAGATACATATAAATACATAAGAATTGTGTGGTATGTATGTAACTTGAGTAAAATATGCACCAAGAAAAACAGTAGACAAAAGTATATATGCCCCAAATTCCAAATTATTATTACAAAAGTAAATATGAAAAAACCTACACTAACTTAAAAATAAAAACAAGGCCCATAAAATCACATAAAAGATAGCTGACAGAAAGCTTCATCACCTTTGCAATGCAAGATAATTAAGTCCAATAATGCTAACAGCAAGGATCCCAAAATGCATGATAGACATAAATATATCAGCAATGATAGATTCAAGAAAAATATCACCATAAACATTTAATAATTTCGTAGATGTAATGTGTGTGAAGCTCCAATTAATACTTCTTGATAAAAAGCTAGGGATATAATCCACATGGTTTCAACTTGCATAATATGTATTTATTAATAAACAAATAAACTCATTAAAGAGAAGTAATCCACATGGTTTCAAGGTTAATCCGGATAAATTGTGTACTTTTAAGCCAAATAGTGAAGTGGGTATTCTTCAAGGTATCTATCAATAATAACTCCAAGGAAATATTGATATAATATAAATTTCTAAAAAAGTTTATTTTAATCAATTTTAAAATCATGAAACTAAAAAATTTCATTAGGCGCTTAATTATGAAATTGTTAGTGATCTATCAACTTCAATAAACTAGTAATTCAAACTTTATTTCAAATAAAGCTTATCTGGAATTGAATGGATTTCAACAAGCTATCTTTGGTGAAAATAGGCTATTCAAAATTAACACAATTCTAACTGTATGTAAGAACACATATAGAGGTCTACTCCATTAGACATTTGGCCTCCTCAAGATTCTCCTAAGTTCTCTTGGATGGTTTGGGCCTGATAGCAGGTTTTGGAATGTTAGAGATTTGTTGATTCCATAGGAAGGTTCAATTCTTAACATTTTAAACTATATCCGATACGATATCTCCAACTCTTCTTAAGAATGGAGCATGACTTATTCAAGGTTTAAAAAGGTGAAACAAAGAACCAAGGCATGCATTTTGGTTGAGTGAAGTGAAGTGTAAGCTCTAAATGGTTCAAGACATATGCCTTAAATAAATTCATATGTCATAAGCAA